ATTTTACACAGCTCTATTTGAGATGCGCTTCTAATACAGTCAATACAGTATTTTACACAGGTCTATTGGAGATGCGCTTCTAATACAGTCAATACAGTATTTTACACAGGTCTATTGGAGATGCGCTTCTAATACAGTCAATACAGTATTTTACACAGCGCTATTGGAGATGCGCTTCTAATACAGTCAATACAGTATTTTACACAGCTCTATTGGAGATGCGCTTCTAATACAGTCAATACAGTATTTTACACAGCTCTATTGGAGATGCGCTTCCAATACAGTCATTACATTATTTTAATGATATCTAATATAAGGATATCATTATTATGTCAATGTGAATTGAGTCGTAATATTGATCTCAAATACAAGCAAATTGAGGTCATTTTTGTATCTACATTGGCATATTATCTTTTTCCAAACACAATATTTATCGGAATGTTCTCGTTTGTATTCAGCTGACAATAGCTGTTTAATGAACTGCGCTCTAAGCCGTATATTGTCAGTAAACGATTCATTAATCCTTAATCAAGATGCCTAAGACTTGGCTCACTTTTATGGCCATTTTTATTTCATGTGGTAGCAGTTAAACCTATCTAATGCCTTGTTTTAAGTTCTTATATTCTATAGAACACCTGCTACAATCTAATTGCATTTGGGGGATTGATGTACAAATGGGAGTCAGAGGGCAAATGTTGATATTTGCTATGAATCAACTATCTTATTTCAGTCTTGTTTTTAATTCTTTTTAATTTTCAGAGTGTCTTCTCACCATACTCATTTAAGGCAGTTTGAACCAAATTCAAATGTTAAGCTGTACATATGTACAATGCATTCTTGGAGATAACTTGTCATCAAAATTTAATGTTATCTTTTTAACTATAGTTGTATTCACATCAATAATAATATATGGTTTTTTCATCTCATGTCACCAAATATAATTTTGACCAGTCAGCAAAATAATCTTTACCATTTGCCATTACATTTGCTACTACTGTGTTTTGAAAAATTGTCCTGTATCCACATTTTTTTTTTCATTTTTGGTATCCAAAAGCCATTCAGCCCAAACCTTTTTAACTATACTTTTAATTAGTTGTAATGTTTTTAGTAAAAGCTCAAGTGAGTGAAAAATATTGTATGTTCTATTTTAACTTCAAAGAGGTCTCCAACACATACAAGTCCACAATGTTTCAATCACCAATGGAAATGAGATACAAATTGTCCTACACTCTGATTACTCTCTTTGTGCGCCAAACTTTATTTCAACAACCTTAAAATGACAATTTGTTGCTTTTCAATTGTACACATTGGTAGCATCTGTCACAAATTTAGGCGTATTGATGAATTCATTATTGCGGAACATACATCTACCAAAGTGTATACATGTAGATGGATTCAATTTTCCGGTTAACAGCCCTTGGTGATGAGTATATAAGTCTCTATTGTAACATTTCTGTCTTTCTGCGGGACTGGACTCCATATGTCTGCTCAGTTTGCCTTTTCTGTTACATTTCTCTTGCGGGAGTAACTATGAGCTCCATATGGTCTTTTCATACTGTGCTATTTTAGCTTTCCTAGCATGATTCATTATATTTTGATCAGCATGGTTGCCATTTATTTCGTTGTACTGTGGAGCTGTAATGAAACCAATAAAGGAATAATGCAATTGTCAATGCCCGTAGGTCTCCTCTTGTCTTGTAATTTTGTATAAGATCCTCTTATTTTGGATGTCCTGCTGGCTTTCAAATTGTAACTATTTACAGTGGGGGTCATAGTGGTCACACACGTTCAATATTGTCTCATACTACGCGTAACAATGTATGCATGTTGGTAAAATGCATTGTTCATTTACACAAAACAACAACAAAGACTGGTGTCCTTAACTCAGGTGCAAAATACAAAATGTGAAACCTGTCTAATACAAACACCAAAGTGATTACGTATACCTTATTATTATTATTATTATTATTCTTTATTCCGCACTATAAGGCCCGCGGCCTAAAGTACTGTTACATTTCAAAACTAAAATTAACTCAGTCGCTTTGAAATTACAAGATTCATATACTTCAAATTATACTTCCATTTCAGTTTCTCTGTAATGAAAACTCTTAAACAAATATTTACCCAAACTTAATAAAGTATATGAGTTAGTACTTTGTAGCAATGCAATCAGTTTCATCTTGGTTGGTGGTGAAAAATAATATTTTGGTAAGAATTTTTGTCTAAGTCTTAGTAAAATTGTATTCGTCCTCTGTGACCCTACAACCAAACGGACATAACCTTTGGTCACAAGGAATATGCAATGTTCTACCATTTTCAATTTCTAAGTATAGATATATATACCTTATATTATAGATACCTCTACAAGGGAGGGTCTTGAGAAAGTATTGATTTAAGAGATGATGGTTTGAATGTGTTCAAATTTTGTGTATTTATATATACCTATAAACAACACATTTGACTCACATATGTGTATAAGAATAATAATAATAACTTTATTGCCTCCTTGTAAATAATTTTACATTGGGTTATAGCAAAAAGTGATATTTTAGAAAATTTATAAATACGATAGATAAATAAACAATATTACTATACATCTGTCACAGTAACGCCGTAAGTTACAGCGTGCCGCAATTTTGCGATATGTTACATAGTATTTTCGTCCTACCATATTAGGAAATGCAAATTCAAAATATGGAATGATTACGCGTGTAATCGTTCTCTAATAATAAAAACACCAGGGTTTGACCGGACCCCACACAAAGAAAGAAGTATGCAGTTGCTGCACGTTGGTCGATACTCTCGCTGTACTGTCTTCTTGCATACTTTTCGGTATACTTGTATTAACCTCATATTAGTTTGAGAGCCATTCTGTTGTGTATAAACATTACTATGCGTAGTGCAAGACCAATATTGAATGCATGTTGTACGTCTCCTTTTAATAGACAGAAATGTTTTCTGATTAAACAAGTTTTACGAACATGTAGATAGAGAATTCATTGAAACAATTAGTTTTTCTCTATAGACACTTTGGTGTAGCAGATTCACATCGATTGCTGGAGATCACAGCTCGTTGCACATGTATGAACCATGTTAATTTCACAACATAGTTTGTGAATATTGTCAGTAAAGTTTTACTGTGATATTGAATGCAGAGAGTGATTTACATAATATTTATTCATTGTGAATGCCCTATTCTTTTGACAGTGAAAATTGAGGTGTGATTTTTGTACATATGGGCCACTGTATTTTATACTGAGTGCACTAATCATATACACCAGTATATTAGTCATAATAATATCGTGGTGTAAGACCTCCTCACTTTTTTGTATTGTTTTTAACACTAAATTCTGCATTATGTTGTTAATCTTTCTTTAATTCTTCTATTTTTTTTGTTAATTACAGATCCTGCCTATGAAAACCGCAGTAGGCCACGAAGGAAGAGTGCCCCTGCTACCTCTGCCCATGTGACTGTCATGGACGCAGAGGGGGCACCCTCAAAATTTGTAAGTACCCTTTAAAATATCTTTGTGTTCCAAGAAGTTGCATGGTAGCAAAATAGATGATATGTGGTAAATCTCCTAATTTGGGTGGTTAAACTTGTTCAGATTACATTTTAATGTCTTTCTTGAGCCAATATAAAATTAATAAAGCAATATTCAATAAAATGGTTCTGACATTAAAAACGCATTTTAGAAATAACTTTACAGTAATGTCATCAGGATTTGGTTTAGATTCAAAATGCTAGAAATACCTTGCCTTTATCTAAATGTAATGCAGAGATTTACAGAAATGTTGTCAGGATTTGATTTAGATTCAAAATTCTAGAAATACCTTGCTTTTATCTAAATGTATTACAAAGATTTATAGAAATGTCGTCAGGATTTGATTTAGATTCAACATGCTAGAAATACCTTGCCTTTATCTCAATGTATTGCAGAGATTTACAGAAATGTCGTCAGGATTTGATTTAGATTCAAAATTCTAGAAATACCTTGCCTTTATCTAAATGTATTACAAAGATTTATAGAAATGTCGTCAGGATTTGATTTAGATTCAACATGCTAGAAATACCTTGCCTTTATCTCAATGTATTGCAGAGATTTACAGAAATGTCGTCAGGATTTGATTTAGATGTAAAATGCTAGAAATACCTTGCCTTTATCTAAATGTATTGCAGAGATTTATAGAAATGTTGTCAGGATTTGGTTTAGATTCAAAATGCTAGAAATACCTTGCCTTTATCTTAATGTATTGCAAAGATTTATCGAAATGTTGTCAGGATTTGATTTAGATTCAAAATTCTAGAAATAATTTGCCTTTATCTTAATTTATTTCAAAGATTTATCGAAATGTTTTCTTCTGTTAAAGGGGTTCATACCAAAACGTATGAAAACAGCGTTGAAAAGAACCAAGAGCGCTACCAAATTAGACAGAAAAGGTGGAATTATCAGAATTAAAGAAGAAGAAGTATTTGAACAAGACATGTAAGTGTCCAACATAATATCAACCAATATCATGTACCGGGAAATGTCTTTGAAATTATGTATACAATATCACCGATACAAAGATTTAGTAAAGGTTTCTTACAATGTACATTGTAATTTTTTAGAGGGGTGGCAGGGGTGGACTAGATTGTCAGTGCTACTCTCTCCAACTCTCCCACATACAATACACTATAACTGAAGTCACATGATAGACTGCCACTAACCATATCCTTAAATGTAATTCATGATTATTATACTGTCATGCTAGTGTTTTTCTGTAAAATCAAGTCAAATCATAAAATTGTTGGCACTTAGTACTTTCCAATCCTTATGTTTTGTTGTTACAAGTCTTCCTCAATCCCAAACAATTACAAGAAAAAGATTCCTCCCTTGAATAATCAACCATGGCATATACTTACTAGTTATATCCCAGCGTGTTTAGAAACCACTAACATATTTATAAAACTTGTGATTATTGATTGTTTCCAGGCCTTTCCTACCGCATAAAATAAAGGGATCCCGGTCCCATGAATCACTGCTGTCGGATCATGGCGGTATGGAAACCAGTGATATGACAGTAGAAGATGCCCAAGTCAAACCTTTACATAGTAGTGTCCTTGGGCAGGAACACTGTTTTCAGATTACTTCTTCCATGGGCAGTAAATATTATACCTGTAGAAACTCTCAGAGAGGGAAAAATGGGTGGAAAGGTAAATAATATATTTTCTACAATTTCTTTATTAATTTAGAATAAAAACTAATGAATAAAAAGTGGAAATCTTAGATACATTCTTAAAATTTATTGAGGGAATGTTAACACCAAGAGGATGGAAATGATAAATGATGACACCTTAATTATAATACCTACGATAGTTATTATGTTATGTATTCAAAAAATATGTCAAGCAATCAACTTGGTCATTCTCCAAAGGGGATTTGGAAATTATCCTTTTCAAGTAAAAACTGTCTTCTCTCAAAATATGATTGTATTATACATCACAATCTGTACAAAACACCTTTATAAAAATGGTTTGATATAACTAGTTTAATGACACAATGATCTACAGACACGCTCAGCAAAGTAGTGAGCATTTATGTTGGCATTGTAGCTGTTTTGATGTCTATTATGATATTACAAGGAAACTGACAGTAATCAGCACATCCAGCTTGATATGAACAATCACATTTCATTGTCGGAACTAGAAAATAAATGCTAGGTGTTTTTTTCTTTACTTTGGAATGTACAAGGATTCAGATCTCTGGTTGCTATGGCAACCATAACCAACTATGAAATATGAGATTCCACAAAATGTCTTCTCTTATGTTGTTGTGCGCTATATAATGGAAAATAAAATGAGATGTTCCTCTTTTATATAAAGACTTATTATCTTGCCTTTTCCTTGTGTTGATTACTGTGATATTGAATCCGTTGCATCCATAGTTATTGCTACAGGCAATATCTAATATGAGAATCACGACAGTCTCAGTCAGAAAAAATAATCACATCCCTATTTTCTTTAACTATAAGACCTTCTTTCATTTCATTTTATGGCTACTATGTTGTTTCATTGCAGCTTACGTAACACTATGCAGCCAGACAGAGATGAGAAAAACAGAATTGATAATTCATTACAAATATCAATCATAGAAGCCAAAGGAATTCCATCAAAGAAAAAGTAAGGTTAAGGGTCGAAGGTCATCAAATGACCTAAATATTTGTTACACTGTTCATCATTGTAAAGTAGTTAGCTAAACATGTAATTTAGTATATGAATTAGCCACCTGTCCCTTTCAAAGATAAACACTTATGCACAGCATAAAAATTACTGTTATTCTGTATTCTGCATCTCTAATAAAGTGCATATAAATCCCAAATCATATTTGTTGCTTACCGAATCATTAAAATATTAATTTTTTTGACCATAGTAACACCTCCGTGATTTACGTAAGTGCATACACTACCACTACTGTGTCATTCATGATTTTTAAATTAGAAAATGGCTTCAAATCAGGGTTTTTCAGCTAAAAGATTCTACAAATGTGATGATTTTGTATGGTTGCTATAGTAACTGTCCTATCATAAACAAAATGTCTTATTGAGATTACTTGTTCTGAACACTACTAGTTTTGTTCTCTTACAGATATTTTTGTGAACTATGTTTAAATGAGAATCTTTATGCCAGAACCTCATCCAAAGTGAAAGGTGAAATGTTGTTTTGGGGTGAACAGTTCTCTTTTACGTAAGTCATATTATTGCTGTTCTTTCTTAAAACCACAAATTTCACTATATTATTGTTTAATTAAACCATAAACATAATTTTGTTATCATCACTGAATTGTTTATAATAAAAATAAAATTCTCAGAGTTAAAACCATACTGAACTGATGTCATATATCTACTTACCGGTATGCATGGTATACCGACTATAAATCATAAATGATTTATCCCATCATGCATTTGGAGCAAAGTGCATTATGGGTCAATAAGTATCCTTTGAAAACGTTTAATCTCTAGAGATGTCTTATCATGGATATCTAACCATGTTCAGCAGATATGTAGAAAGCTGCCTTAGGCCATCAAATCAGTTCATGATATCGATGGTATTAAAAAAATAAATCACTGTATTCATAAATAATTTAACCCATCTCTTTATCAGATTAGAACTAAAATCAAATGCCATCCCAACAAGTTTCATTTCTGCTATAAAAACAAGTTCTAATGTATAATTTCTTTTCTTACAGGAGTCTTCCAAATTTTTCATCAGTTAGCGTACATCTTTATAAAGACAGTGACAAGAAAAGAAAAAAAGATAAAAATGGATATCTTGGTGAGTATTCTTCCCCGGTATTCAATTAAATCATAAAGTGTGTTAATATTTATGTATACACAGTGAGTGGCTAATATTCAGGAACATTTGGCTATTCCCAACTTATGGCTAGAAATGTTTGCCATTTTCACAAGTTTTCATTTCTACAATGTTTATTTTTGAAATAACTGTCATCTGATAATATTTTTGGGTTCTCTCTTCACTGGAAGACCATGTTGCAACAATTTTGATCTCACAAGCAAATGGTTGACACTCTTTAGGAATGTCATGACAAACATATATATCATTGTATTTTATTGAATCACATTGCTGACAGCTGAGGTATCCAATTTAAATGAATATTGTCTGGCTGTAGGAAGCTTCTGGAGACACTTACTGAACTGTAGTGCCACCTGATTTTTTTTGTTTTTACACTTTTTTTACAAAATGTAAATATTTTTTCAAGATTGCTACCGTATATCAATGCATGATTTTCCATTGCATAAGCTAAATGTTTACATTAGTGACGCATTATATATCAGCTTTAATCTTTTCACCATCAGTACTCTTTTCTTCATCACAAATTCACAAAAATAGTCCTGTTTATAGTCTGCACATTCCTTCAAAAGATTTGAACAAAAATAGCCAAATTTTTTGAGTAAAAACCAAAAATATTGTCTGTCGGCTTCAAAATTAAGGTTCATTTCCAAAAATATTGAAGAATATATGAAAAAAGTACAAAAAAAATTTGGGTGAGAAAGTGTGGTGGTGAAAAGGTTAAGGGCACACTGGCACTCAGTATTTACATAAAATTTACTGTAGTAAACACTGTCTTTATCTAGATAAATATTGATATCAACTATAGTTTGATAGTCTGTTGGTTTATGGTAACTCATTTTGTAATTCTTGTTTAATTCCCTGCAGGCAGTATAAATATTCCTGTGAGTGGCATCAGCAGTCATCAAGGTGTTGAAAAATGGTAAGTAAAAGTGCATACTAATGAGCTGATTTGCATAATTTGTGAATGTAAATCAGAATATTATTTTCACTCACTACTGTTTCTTGATATATATTTAATGTTAATGTTGCAATTTGAAGAGATTATAACAAACAGTAAATAGTACACAATGAGGTAAATACTCAAACCTGAACACAAGTCTGAATCAACATCCAAATTTATTGCCAACTTCAGAATCATCTCACAAAATGCCTCAAAACTAGTAACACATCTCGTAAATTGTATCCATGAACAATCTCTCCTGCAGTTGTTTCTATGGCAACTGCAATGATTTAAAAGACTTTTTCCATTACAGTGATTTTTACTGTCTGGGGGTTAATCCTAATGATTCTCTCTGTGCTTCTCTTTGCATTATCCATATGTTATTACTCTGAAATATGTTTTTTAGCTAGTATGTTATTTTAGCTAATTTAGCGAGTCTGTTATTTCGCTAATTCAAGATGTAGCTATATTCTCACAATGAGATTATTGGCAGTGTAGCTAAATTAAGATTCTGTTAATTTATGCATTGAGCCAAATAACTTAATTCTATTTAAAAGTGTTTTACAGTATTTTTAAATCTTCACAATATTTTTATTTTTGTGAATACTTGTATCAGAGAGATTTGACTATCATAATTATCATAATTTGTTTTGTGTTCTTAGACATGTACATTCTTTTTTAGCAATTATGAGTTCCGTTATTACACAGGTATAACATTCTTACTGTCAACTGAAACATAAATCTACATAACATGTTGATGATAAAAATGTATATTTCTGTTTTTTGTTTTAAACTATACTAAATCATCTTAATATGTCATGTGATCTGAACATGTGCTTCAAATTGAAAACGAAAAAAGTATATTTTTGTCTGGCTGACAATAAGAAGAAAACCTCTTTACTTAAATCTGAAGTCCGGTGCCATTCATCTCCTCTAGACCTCTAGGAGAACAAGTAATGAACTGAAATCTACTTCCAAATATTATGAATTCTTAAACTTTAATTTGTATTCAACTTTAAATGTCATCAACAGGCAATCATACTAATGGCTTAATTATGAATTGTTTTACTTCTATCATTAAACTATATTTAGTGAGTTATCTATTGCCCACTCACTGCGACTGACTGCCTCATATCACAATTTGTATGCAAATAGAGTTGTAATATAATAATTGAAAAGCAATGAGATTATATAGATGTCTTGTCCTTATCTTTGTTGTACTACTGTATTCATTGAATTTTATTCAGAAGAAATTATTATTTTAAAAATAAATTCCATTCACGTTGAATTGATCCACTCTGGATTTCACACTATATTTACATGTCAAATTTGTCACAGTACAGAGGTACCCATGTATGAATCAGGCCATGCCTTTGAAAATGCCTGGACTATTAAAAATAGTTCTAAAAGCTTTGAGGCGAGTTAGGGGTGCGATTTCTGGGCTTCCCTGGACACTTGTGAGTGTAATTTCCTCTATTTTGATTGCAATCTTTTGTAAGGATCATAGGTCTATTGAAGGTTGACAAAACATATATTTTTTTTTTAATATTATAGTTTATTATCCATACTGTAGACCAACACAGTCTATAGTTTATAATCATAGAGTTTCCAAAACACAACAGTATTTGTTACTTGAAAAATCAAGAACACTGATACATGTGCAGTGATTGTTATTGTACGTATCAAAACAAAAACAAATGTGTATTATTTCATCAAACAAAAACTCAGATGTATGCTAGAAGAACAGCATTTCAGTTCAGTCTAATGTATCTATCAATATACAGCATGGATGTCAAACAAGAATATTAAACATTATATGTTCTTAACCATATTTCATCTTTAAAGTTCCATTTCATTAAAATACCACACATTCAATGTATTCTGTTGCATAGTAATTAATTGCTTTCTTCTTTGCAGGTATCCAATCAATTCTACACTCAATAGACTGGGTAACAAGAATGATGGACCATCAATCAGGATTAAAGCCAAGTATCAAAAGATCCACATATTACCAATAGATCAGTATTCAGACTTCTTACAGGTGGGTTTCTCTTTCTGTCTTGCAGATCGTTCACCAATTATGTCATTATAATATCTGATCTAAATAAGAAAATTACCAATTGTGTTGACATATGACAGCAATGAAAAATGTGTTTTGGGAAAAGGATAATAAAAATCAAGTTGTTAAAATTCCAAGCCATAAATGAATTATGACATCAATTCAATTACTGGAAGGTTAAATTCTGGGTACTGTATTTGCTCTGAGTGTACCTTCAATAGTACCTTGCTTGCAGTCTGTTGCGATCACGATGAAAAATTCTTGAAAAATAAATATAAATTGCGTAAACGAGGGGTGAACGCGAAAGTCATGTGACCACGAAATCCCAACAGACTTGCCATCAATGTAAGCGCCCTCACATTACCGGCCAGATTCAGGCTTGTTAATTTGCATATACATCATACATCAATGTGTTTAGCTGTCGTTGTGTTTAGCTGTCGATGTGTTTAGCTGTCGA